GGCCACAGAGTAACTCAGGCTACAGATTACTTTGGGTCTAGTTCTCAGTCGGACATCATTAAGTGGGCCACAGAGTAAGTGGGCCACAGAGTACAAAAAAAGCCCAGCAGGAACTCATTAGCATAATAGGCCACACCCAAGAGCAGAAACACATTAGCATATTAGGGCACACCCCTGACAGCGCAGCTCATTAGCATATGAGGCCGCACCCCCGTGTTACCAGAAGTGTGGTCATCCAGCCACACCCACCTTTTGCTTCTTATTCTGTTTACCTTGTTTGTTGTCAAAACCCAGGGCTTTTTTTTAGCAGGGACTCCTTTGCATGTTAGGCCACACCCCCGTAATGTAGCCAATCCTAATGAGTTTCTGCTGTTGGGTGTGGCCTATTATGCTAACGAGTTCCTGCTGGGCGTGGCCAACTCTGAAGCCAGCCGGAACTCCGTTCCTGTGCGTTCCTGCCCAAAAATAGCCCTGGTAACTCAGGCTACAGATTACTTTGGATCAAGTTCTCAGTCGGAAACTAGTGACAAGCTGTACCACTGCACTGAGGGTTCATGTGACTGAATGCTCCTCTGGGATTACCAACTGCCAGGGAAAGCCTGGAGTTACAACTTCTCTCCAGACTGACGGGACCAGTTCCCATGGAGAAAATGGCTGCTTCAGAGGGTGGACTATATGGAATTATACCCTGCAAAGGCCCTCCCCTCCCTGGTGTAGTGGCTAGGAGAAGTGGATTCTATTTGGAGAACCGAGTTTGATTCCCCACTCTTCCACATGAAGCCAGCTGGGTGACCTCAGGTCAGTCACAGTTCTCTCAGAGCTCTCTCAGCCCTGCTTACCTCAACGGGGGGCTGTTGTGGGGAGAAGAAGGGAAGGTGATTGTAAGATGCTCTGAGACTCCTTCGAGTAGTGAAGGGCGGGGTATCAATACCTTCTTCCCTGGCTCCATCTCCAAACCTCCAGGAATTTTCCCAATTTGGACTTGGCAACCGTATGCTCCTCTGTACAAGTAGAAACTCATTGGCCTATTAAGCCACACCCCTGACAGCACATCTCATTAGCACATTAGGCCGCACCCCCATGTTACCAGAAGTGTGGTCATCCAGCCACACCCACCTTTTGCTTCTTATTCTGTTTACCTTGTTGTCAAAACCCAGAGGGGTTTTTTGTAGCAGGAACTCCTTTGCATGTTAGGCCACACACCCCTAATGTAGCCAGTTCTAATGAGTTTCTGCTGTTGGGTGTGGCCTGTTATGCTAATGAGTTCCTGCTGGGCGTGGCCAACTCAGGAGCCAGCCGGAACTCCGTTCCTGTGCGTTCCTGCCCCAAAATAGCCCTGATTATCTTCAACTGTAATGAAACGCAAGCAGGCTCGGTGGGAGGTCAGCAACACTGTAAAAGTCAAAATGGGTCTACTTGGGTTGCTTAGATTTGAGGACGGCCAGGGCTATTTTTGGGCAGGAACGGAGTTCCGGCTGGCTCCCGAGTTGGTAACATGGGGGTGCGGCCTAATGTGCTAATGAGCTGTGCTGTCAGGGGTGTGGCTTAATAGGCTAATGAGTTTCTGCTGTTGGGTGTGGCCTATTGTGCTAATGAGTTCCTGCTGGGCTTTTTCTACAAAAAGAGCCCTGATGGACGGCTACTACTGGTCTTCAGCTGGTGGTCAGGACCCACAACTGGGGTGCAGCTTGATGGGTCACACCAACAATTTCACCCCCATACATATTGCTGGCACCAGCCAAAACAAGTTGGGCTTCTCCTTGGAAATCACCCTGGCAAAAAGCTTGGCAGAAACAAACCCAGACTGTGTTTTTGCTAGCAGAGTTACTACACAAGAATCTTATCCAAGTCTGCATTTTGATTCCTATCATGTTGTAACAGTAAGTCTCAAGGCAATATTGAATAGCTTCTTGTTATCAAGGAAAATTTTAATTTAAAAAGAAACCGAAGGAAGAAGTGGGTTGCCTGTATCGCATGTTTGGGATCAAGGTGAACCTTGGTCTGGAAAGACGGCAGATTCATTTCTAAACCAAGGCAATACTGCAAATGATGTGAGGCTGAAGGAGCAGTACGGGTCAGGGCTTTTTTTTGTAGAAAAAGCCCAGCAGGAACTCATTAGCATAATAGGCCACACCCAACAGCAGGAACTCATTAGCATATTAGGCCACACCCCTGACAGCACAGCTCATTAGCACATTAGGCCGCACCCCCATGTTACTAGAAGTGTGGTCATCCAGCCACACCCACCTTTTGCTTCTTCTTTTTTTAATACGTCACCCACCTTTTGCTTCTTATTCTGTTTACCTTGTTTGTTGTCAAAACCCAGGGCCTTTTTTGTAGCAGGAACTCCTTTGCATGTTAGGCCACACACCCCTAATGTAGCCAATCCTAATGAGTTTCTGTTGTTGGGTGTGGCCTGTTATGCTAATGAGTTCCTGCTGGGCGTGGCCAACTCGGGAGCCAGCCAGAACTCGGTTCCTGTGCCTTCCTGCCCAAAAATAGCCCTGAGAACCCTGTCTGCTGCCCTGAGCTTCTTGGAGGGTGGTGGGGGTGGAAGGTACCATCAAGTCACAGCCGAGTTATGGCGACCCCGCAGGGGTTTCAAGGCAAGAGATTTTCAGAGGTGGTTTGCCATTGCCTGCCTCTGTGTCACACCCTGGTATTCCTTGGAGGACTCCCATCCAAATGCTAGCCAGGGCCGACCCTGAGATCTGACAAGATCAGGCAAGTCTGGGCTATCTGGGACAGGGCCTTCCTGGAGTGAGGAGAGGATAAAAATATAGGTGGTGGTGGGGAGTAACAATGCATTAAAACTGCCCGAATTCTTTGGGTGAAAGCCTCAAAACCGGTTTCAGTTTTGTAGCACTCATGTTCCCTCAACCACACGAGGCATTAATTAAATAAGACTTGTGAAAACAGCATCATCAGAAGGCGACAGGACGCGTCCCTCCTGAGAACCTGTTTTCAGCCCCAGGACTCGACTCTGTAATGTGCAGACAAGGGGAAACGACGGCTTTTGAACAGGTACAGAGGAGCAAATGTCCCCGCAAATAAGTCGCCAGAGCCTGGTGGTCACACACATTCGCAGTTTTCAGCTCCTGCAGCCGGTTTCTGAGCCTCGCTACACCTTTTTATTTAAAAAAAAAAAACACAATTAGCAATAATAGTCCACTCCGGAGGGGTCCTCTGGGTTGATCACTCTGGAATAAAGTAGGGATGATCCCCCTCGCCGGATTATTAGTCCTGCAAGAATTCTACAGTTGGGGGATCACGAGGCTGCCCTTTATTCTTAGGTTATTTCCATGTGTGTGTGTGTGGGGGGGTGTATAAGGATGACGGAGTAAAGGTGGGCAGCTTGATCCGTCCGCGCTTAATTTGTATAAAGTCGAAGCTTTTGGCCAGCCACTCTATCCTGGAAGTTCTTCCCTCTGAATCGCACACGTGCCGGGCTGCTTATGGGAAAATGTGTAGTGACGGGAAACCACGCTGCAGGCATCCCGACACACACGCACGCACGATCCGGGGCAAAAAGCGTGGTGAATCTGGTCTGGGCACTGCTTACAGTTTTCAAAAGTGCAGGCCTGGAAGCGTAGCGGACACTACTACCCCCTCCGGCCCGCGCCCCCGTCGTCCCCCTCGGATCTTAGCGCGCCTACTGGGGGCGCACTCTGCACGTGCTCAGCGCCGTCCTCCGATCACGTGTCCTGGGCCTTCTGCCCGGAGCTTGCAAAGTGGTGCCGCGGGTGCGAGCCTCGCCGCCCCCTTCTCTTAACGCCCCCCCCC